CATCATTCTTAGTTTGGGGGACACAAAAATACAGGTAGTGGGCTAGGTTTTGCACAGGGTTGTTATTTACTGACCATTAAATTCAATAATAGCATTGTAACTATATGATGATAATTGTATTATGGTTACGGTAAAAGAATGTCTTTGATGCTAAGAAGACAGAGTAAAATACTAAGGAGTAAAGAGACATAGTATCTACGCCTTACTCTCAAATAGCTGTATATAAATAAATCTATATAATATACACACATACATGTATATATAAAGAGAAAGAAATGATAAAACAAATGTGGTGAGATGTTAATATCTGAAGATTCTGGGTGAAGGCTTAAAGGAAATTCTTTTGTGATTCTTGCAATTTCCTGTAAGTCTAAAATTATTTCAAAACAAAAGATTTTTTTTTCCAGTACTTGCTTAAAATAATCTGGAGAAAGGGGATAACTAAGTACAGATAATAATAAAAAAATGAGCTCCTAATTAAAGATAAGTGGCACATGAGGTTTAAATAATTATTTTTCTTTTATTACCTGAAATTTTCCAGAATTAAATGTTTACACACACACACACACACACACCCCAGACATGTAAAAATATCGGGAAGCCCTTAAAGTATCATTAACGAAGCATGATATAATTTAGGGGAGGGGATACAACTTAATAAGAGAAGTTAAAAATTTATATCAATTTCCATAATAATTTAATTTTCTAAAATTTATTCTGTAAAAACCTAAAAAGTTGCACACACATTTAAAAAATACTTTCCAAATAGTAACTCCAGGTGTTCATGGTACATAACAAAAAATGATTAATTTTATGACTCCAAATTAGTGAGAGAATAATAAAATTTTAACAGTTGTTGGCTATAGGAGGTAGCAATCATGAACATTTTTTACTTTTTTGTACTTCTCCACAATTTTTGAAATTTTCTAAAATATTTATTATTTGCCACAAATTCATATGTGTAATATTTTGAGATTTCTCAATTTTCTGGGAGGACTGATTAGTTTTAAAACTGTTAATTTTCTGAGCATTCATCAACATGAATAGAACTTGTCTAAACTGGAGCAATATTGTACCAACTTTTTGTACAGCAGTGGAAAGCATTTGACCCAACTTTTATAAATAAATAATTCAATCTGATATTAACACAGACATGAGATGCTGGCTCTCTTCCCCGTGTGAAAAAAAAAATAATAATAAAGTGCTTAAGAGACAACAGAAGCAGGACCTTGTCATACTGACATGTTCCTAAAAGCTGAGTGCCATAAGTCAAAGTTGGGAAAAAACTAAACTAGGGTCAGAACAACATGTAGGACTCATCCCAGTGGGAATGGGCAGAAGTTAAAAAGCCTTACCCACAGAGTGTGGTGCACACTTCTCCTAATCGAACCAAAACCAGCATCCAGTGTGATTCAAGTTAAGTAAAAGGAGGGACCCATAGCTGGAGGTTTATTGTACAGCCCATGCTTCCTGGTAGGATAGTAAGAGTGCAGCAGGACTTCAGTGACTAGATCACTTAAGCCTAAACCAAGGAAGTGGATTGGCTGGGCATAAACCCCCATGTAGGAGGTCAGGGTCATGTCGTGGCTCTAAAACCAATAGAAAAAGGAAATTTACATAGGAAATGAAGGCTAAAACCAGCTGTAAAAATGACTGGCGATGTGCAGCAAGGATGTTCTGTGCTTGGCCATGTCAGAAGAATCCACAGAAAAAGAAACAAAAAGGATTGTAATAGGTTTACTGAAGAGTTTAAACTCACTGGAATGTAAAATGAAATAGTTTTCTTATCCCAGTCACTAATTTCAGCCTTTTTGGAGAATGAATTCTCTCAAAAATGTCTGGTTTATCTTGTTGATGTCCCAAACACTTCCGATTATTTTCAGCCTAAAATACTTATCCTCCAGCCCTCTTCTAGACCTGTTGACCTGTTCCTCTGTTATCTACAGCCTAGAGAGGGAAAGCTCAGCAAGCCCCATTCACCAAGCCAAATGTCAGCTTCTCTTTCTTTGTAGGCACCCAAATCCTCAAGAGACTTTTTTGCAGTACCTTCTTACTTGACTTAGATTAGAACAGTGTTTCCAGTCTTCCACAGGATTCATAGTTGATGTTTTCTTTGTACAAATATGTAGGAGAATGAGTAAGCAGGTATGGTGATTGACAATGGTAGGAAGATTTATGAAAGATATATGGACCTAAATAATTGGTGGCTTACAAATAAGATGTGCTAGCTAGTATCCTTTGTCTTCACTTTGGAGTCCTTACTTCAGTTCCTCAGTTGGGACTCACAGGAAAAGTCAATCTGAACATTCTCTACAAAGGAAACTAAAATGAAGTTGGCACATTACGTCAGGTATTTTGTGCAACTTAATGAATCTTTACAATAACAGTGGGAGGAGCATGGTTTATTTACTCCCTTTTTGGAAATAAGGAAACTACAGTTTTAAAAACATGAATAAACCTAGCTGATACTACTAAAGTAGTTTTGAATTTCTACTCCTGTCATCTATTTTCAAAGCTTTTGTTTGATGTTTTCCATTGTGTTGCCACAAATACACCAGATACAGTTAGTTTGGACATTGCCAGAGAAAATAACTGAAGGAATTTATTGTCTTCATGAGATCTGGGTCAGAACCCATTCGAATCTGCTTACTATTAGAATTTCAGTGACAGCGGATTACTGTTCTCAGTGATTCTAGATGATCAAAGGTAGTGAGGGCAAAGAATAAAAATCTCTCCTTATAATTTTGCTTTTATCAGATAAGATCCTCAATAGTTGCACAATAATGCCATTTCTATGCTTCTTTTAATTTTAAATGACAAAAATTGTACATATTTATGGTACACAAGATGATCTTTTAATACAAGTTTTGTATTAGTCCATTTTCATACTTACATGAAGAAATACCTGAGACTGGGTAATTTATAAAGAAAAAGAGGTTTAATAAACTCACAGTTCCACATGGCTGGGGAAGCCCCACAATAATGGCAGACATCAAAGGAGGAGCAAGATGAGATTTCGGTGGGGACACAGCCAAACCCTATCATTCTGCCCCAGCCCCTTCCAAATCTCATGTCCTCACATTTCAAAACAAATCATGCCTTCCCAACAGTCCCCCAAAGTCTTAACTCATTTCAGCATTAACTTAAAAGTCCATGGTCCAAAGTCTCATCTGAGACAAGGCATCTTGTCACCTGAGACATCTGCCTATGAGCCTGTAAAACCAAAAGCAAGTTAGTTACTTCATAGATATAAAGGGGGTACAGGCACTGGGTGAATATGCCCATTCCAAATGGAAGAAATTGACTAAAACAAAGGGCTACAGGCTCCATGAAGTCCAAATCCAATAGGGTAGTCATTAATCCTTGAAGTTCCAAAATGATCTCCTTTGACTCCATGTCTCACAACCAGGTCACACTGATGCAAGAGGTGGGCTCTCATGGCCGTGGGCAGCTCCGCCCCTGTGGCTTTGCAGGGTACAGCCTCTCTCTCAGCTGCTTGTACAGGCTGGCTTTTCTAGGTGCACGGTGCAAAATGTTGGTGGATCCACCATTCTGAGGTCTGGAGGACAGTGGCCCTCTTCTCACAGCTCAACTAGGCAGTGCCCCAGGGGACTGTGTGTGGGGGCTCCATCCCCACATTTCCCTTCCACACTATCCTAGCAAAGGTTCTCCATGAGGGCCCTGCCCCTGCAGCAAACTTCTGCCTAGACATCCAGATGTTTCCATAAATCTTCTGAAATCTAGGCCGAAGTTCCCAAACCTTCAATCTTGACTTCTGTGCACCTGCAGGCTCAATAATATGTGGAAACTGCCAAGGCTTGGGTCTTGCACCCTCTGAAGCCATGGCCCAAGCTTTACCTTGGCCTCTTTTAGCCATGGCTGGAACAGCTGGGACACAGGACACCAAGTCTCTAAGCTGCACACAGCAGGGGGACCCTGAGCCTGGCTCAGGAAACCATTTTTTCCTCCTAGGTCTCCAGTCCTGTGATGGGAGGGGCTGCCAGGAAGGTCTCTGAAATGCCCTGGAGACATTTTCCCCATTGTCTTGGCAATTAACATTTGGCTCCTCATTACTTATGCAAATTTCTGTAGCAGGCTTGAATTTCTCCTCAAAAAATAAGTTTTTCTTTTCTGTCGCACTGTCAGGCTGCAAATTTTCCAAACTTTTATGCTCTGCTTCCTCTTGAATGCTTTCCTACTTAGAAATTTCTTTTGCCAGATATCCTAAATCATCTCTCTGAAGTTCAAAGTACCACAGATCTCTAGAGCGGAAGCAAAATGCCACCAGTCTCTTTGCTAAAGCATAACAAGAGTCACCTTTGCTCAAGTTCCCAACAAGTTCTTCATCTCCATCTGAGACCACCTCAGCCTGGACTTTATTGTCTATATTACTATCAGCATTTTGGTCAAAGCCATTCAACAAGTCTCTAGGAAGTTCCAAACTTTCCCACACTGTCCTATCTTTTTCTGAGCTCTCTAAACTGTTCCAACCTCTGCTTGTTACCTAGTTCCAAAGTCAACTCCACATATTCAGGTATCCTTATAGCAGCACCCCACTACCTATTACCAATTTACTGTATTAGTCCATTTTCATACTGCTCTGAAGAAATACCCAAGACTGGGTAATTTATAAAGAAAAACAGGTTAATGGACTCACAGTTCCACATGACTGGGGGGCCTCACAATCACGGTGGGTGGTGAAGGCAAAGAAAAGGCACATTTTACACAGTGGCAGGCAAGAGAGCAGGTACAGGGGAACTGTGCTTTTAATGAAAGCATCAGTTCTCATGAAATTTATTCACCACCATGAGAGCAATATGTGAAAAACCCACTTCTATGATTCAATTACCTCCCACCATGTCAATCCTACAACATATGGGGACTATGGGAGCTACAATTCAAGATTTGGGTGGGGATACAGCCAAACCATATCACATATACATTGTGAAATGGCTAATGCAAGCCAATTATATGTAAAAGACTCATATATCCCTTTGGTCTTACTGGTTAATAGCTTTCCTACTCAGCAAATATTTTATAGCAGCTTTTACATCTTTATTTCTCAAGCTATAGATTATGGGGTTTAACATGGGGGTCACAACCCCATAAAACATGGAAACAAGCCCCTCTGTAGCTTGCAAGTTGTCTTTCCCAAGGAGGCCCTGGGACTTCGGTTTTGCATACATAAAGAAAATGGTACCATAAAATATGATCACCACAGTCAGGTGAGCTGAGCACGTAGAAAATGCCTTGCGTCTTCCTGTGGCTGAGTTCATTTGCAAGATGGTGTAGAGGATGAACATATAGGAGAAAAAAACCACGAGCAAAGGAAGAACTAGGAAAGCAGTATTTGACACTGCTAGGGTAACAATATTGAGCGATATATCAGCACAAGCTAATTTTAGGACAGCTAAGATCTCACATAAGAAATGATTAATAATATTGTTCTCACAGAAAGGCAATCGCATGGCAAGTGATGTTTGCACAATTGAATTGATTCCACCGGAAAGCCATGATACAGAAGCCATCAGTACATACACCATCTTGCTCATGATAATGGGGTATCTCAGAGGGTTACAGATGGCCACATAACGATCAAATGCCATCATGCCAAGGAGGAAACATTCTGTTGACCCCATCGCAAACCCAAAGAACATCTGTACCGCACATCCAGAGAAGGAAATGTTTCTTTCCTTTGAGATTAAGCTCACCAATGTTGAGGGAATGGAGGAGGTTGTATAGCAGATATCCAGGAAAGAGAGGTTGCCCAGAAAGAAGTACATGGGCATGTGAAGACGAGAATCCAAGATGCTTGCTATGATCAGAACACCATTGCCAATTAGAATCACTACATACATAACTAGAATCAGAGCAAAGAAAATGATCTCAAGTTTGGGGTAACCAGAGAGTCCCAGAAGAATGAATTCTCTCACAAATGTCTGGTTTACCTTGTCCATGTCCCAGCTTTCAGGATGCCAAAGGAAGACCCAGTGTATAATATTTTCACAGCCAAGCAACAAACGTAAAAAGTAACTTGAATAAAAATTACTCTAGAGTGAAACAGAGACTGTTTTAAAGCTCTGCCATTGAGTTATCTTCAACAGTATTTGTACCTAGAATACAGCCACACTAGGATGCTGAGAGTTTCTATGCCCTGTATCTAATACGTGAAGATCTACCCAGGATCAGAAGTAAATTCAGACACAACTTTTCTTATTATTGAGGACAACCCAAGTTGAGTTTTCTAAAAGCCTTAGACTATTGCAGAAGACAAACCTAGCTTCTTCATTTAGTCAAGTCCAGCAAGAGAGCTGCAAAGAAGGAAAAAGACAACTCAACTAGAACTGGAATTTTGACCCAGTGTTTAACAGAAATGTTTAGAATTTTAAAGCAGGTTAGATGTTCATGTACATTTGTTTGTCTGCCTAAAACTCTGAGTGTCTTTCCGGTCAGTTAAATGTGTATTTTTATGGGGAAGACATTTGATAATAGTAAATTGAGCTCCATACACTGCAATTTAACGTCTGTTCAAAGGTAAAGTTAGTTGTTGATCTCATTCTAACATCCCACTCTTACTATTTTGTTATTTCCTACGACAAGACCATGGTGTAGACCAGCTCTACAGGTATATGATGGAGAATCTTTAGAGAACAATACATGGTCTCTATTTGTTTTATTCCATGGCTTCAGAGTTAATCTTGAGAATTCATTTGAGTAAACCTGAAAAAAAGTAATAGTAGTCAAACATATTTGCGTGTATGTGTGTGTAGCACTTTACAAAAAGGCAAATGAATCTTCTCATCATCCTTAATTTGCTTTTCTCAAATATAAAACACAGAATGTGGCCTATAAGTAAAAAGGGAAACTTAAAGCTTAGCTCTTAAAGTTATTTTACCTTGTTTTCGCAAAGTACTATCCAAAATTTTTAGCTTTGATGGAATTTCAATTTTTCAAATTTCATATGCATATAAATCACCTGAGGATACTGCTGACACGTAAATTTTATGTTAGCATGTCTGGGGCAAGGCCCGTGATTCTTCATGTCTATTAAGTTCCCTGGGTATGTTGAAACACTGGGATGAGGGCACATTTTGAGTAGCAAGACATTGGTTCATCTACAGTGAGTGAGTAGAGTATCCAGATGTTTCTGATCCAAATAGATTTTCTTTTGTGTTATTATATGGACTGGATTAGCAACCTGGAAAATGACCAAAAGCCTAATTCTTTTGTGTTTGCCAGCATACTCCAGGGCCACATCTTGCTGTTCAGTATACTTCAGAAAATAAACACTATTGAAACATTTTATGAAAGCAGAATAAACTTTTGCTGGACTGCTATAATATGTGTATGACATTATTGATTGCCTAACTTGAGCACAGTCCTGTTCCAACACAAGTAAGGGTGGGAAAAGTATGACACAACACGTGTGCCATCAAAAAGTTCATAATTCAATAACAAAAACATGAAAACTACACATGGAACAATTTGATAAAGAATATAATTATATCATGTGGCCAGGGTGAATATTATAAGTAACCTCAGAAGGAGGAGGTAAATGAGAAATAAATAAATCAAGTGAGAGTTCTGAAAGAATGTCGAACTTGTAGCAGATCTGGAAGCACAGAAGGAATGGGGCAGGTTTGGAAGAGAAGAGAGAAATGGGTATTCCAGAAGGGAGAGCAACTTGATGTTTTAGAGGAGCAGATTGGCAGTACCTACTTTTCAGACAGGGGAGTTTCAGCAGAAACACATCTGAAAAGTTAATGAGGCAGGCATATAGAAGGGCCCAAAGGTTAGGAAGAAAAAAAAATGGCACTCCCTTTTGTATGTAAAGGACTTATTATTAGATGAGAACACCAAGCACAAGGTAACTATTTAGCCACTGTGACCTTAGCTACCTTCCAAATCTGACATTATATAACTTGATTTTATGAGGTTTTGAATAGATATGTGACACAAGGAATTAAGATGGTTAGATTAATTAGGTTATCAATTACTGTCTGGTACACCCATACACACACACACACACACACACACACCCCATCATCATCCTTTCATGACTACCAGTTTTTAGGTTAACCAAAATTGTAGGTTTAGGGCTCACGTGGGTTAACAGTTTTGAGAATATCTGCAGAGGCTCAACCCCTACTCTAACACTCAGTTTATTATGTGATAAGTGAAAAATTTCTCTACAGTGTATAATGTCTTGGAGTCAGAAGCCAAACCAGACAGAGGGATTCTCGCTTCAGAAACAGTTTAAAGAATACCAGTAGAATATTTGAACTTTTAAGAGAAGCACAAATGAATGTTGAATCCCCAAATTAGAGATGAGAAAATTAAGCCTCAAAGAAATTTTAAATCTTTATTTTCTCAGCTTAAGACTAGAAGTACCTATTGAAAAAAAACAACAACAACAACAAAAAAAACCTCTTTTTGTTTATTTAAGTGAATAAAATCACTTAAACAACTTCTATTGCAGACATCTACGTGCCAGATTCTGTGCTTGAAATTTGCGAGGTCACATGACTAGCACGGGCAAAGGTAAAATCCAAAGCCCATTCTCCTTCCACTACTTCTCTGTCTAACAGGTAGCATTAAAATCTGTATAGAAATCATGTGTCAACAATAGAGAACAGTCAGTGAGTAACAAATAATAAACGGAGTTCATAAAGGTGAAACTTTAGTCTGTTAAAAATGTACAAGGAGAATGATTCATTCTTGAGGACTTAGCACTTCTCGTGGAAGAAGGTTCACGATTGTGGAGATTGAATCGTATGCCTTAGAACAGTCCATTTGCTGTGAAACTTTTCTACAGTACTTCGTAGCATAGGTCAAAATTCTCTCTCAAGCAGGCTACAGAAATCCTTTGAGGATGCACTGGATAAGGAACATCAACACTCTAGCAGCCCAGTCATGAAAGCAAACAGAAGAAAACAGAAAGATAATGACTTACCAGGAAAGGTGGTGGTGATGTTCCAGATCCCGCCTAGACCTCCAGCCCAGGCCTGGCGAATCGGTTGGCTTTGCCTTCCAGACAAATGTAATGACAATGCATTTTAGGCTACCTAGACAGCTTCTTCTGCCATCTGCTCCAAGCCTTCCCCTCCTAGGAAGAAATTATCTAACCAACTCAATCCACCTTAAGCCAAGCCTTTCTTGCTACCCTTGGTTTTCTTCTGATCCCAGCTCTTTAAATTGGTTCTCTCATGTATTGTGAGATAACAGGAGACATGGGGAAGGAGCTTGCTTGTCTTGCCCATTCCTCTACACCGATGACCTAACATGGTGGCTATAATAGATGGGGTTTTCTTTTTTTTTCTTTCTTTTTTTTTTTTTTGAGACAGAATCTCACTCTGTCGCCCAGGCTGGAGTGCAGTGGCGCAATCTCGGCTCACTGCAAGCTCTGCTTCGTGGATTCACGACATTCTCCTGCCTCAGCCTTCCGTGTAGCTGGGACTACAGGCGCCCGCCGCCGCACCAGGCTAATTTTTTGTATTTTTAGTAGAGACGGGGTTTCATCGTGTTAGCTAGGATGGTCTCGATCTCCTGACCTCGTGATCCGCCCATCTCGGCCTCCCAAAGTGCTGGGATTACAGGCGTGAGCCACCGCACCCGGCCCAATAGATGAGTTTTTCTAGGCTCTTAGGCAATTTCCCTGTGCAGTATTTATGGATTAATGTTCAGAACTTTAATATGTACAAAGTGTTTATTTGCAGCAAGTAATCTGTTAAAAAAAAAAAAAAAAAGAAAATATATCTTCCGGTCAGTACTAATAAGCTGCCAACTTATAAAGAGATTAACTTGTTTATGTGCTGCAAGTATAAAGGTATCACCTAATTCACACTTGAACAGATATGGCATGGGGTTAGCCTACTTAAAAAGTGCTTGGGATTCAGAAACAAAAATCCTAGTTTTGAGTTTATTTTTTCTTCTAATATGTAGCTTGTTTTTCATTTGTTAAATAGTTACAGAAATAACTGCCCTACTTTTCTCACAGGTTTGTTTTGAGAAAAAATTCAGCTAGCATATAGAAACTACTATTTATGGGTTAACCAGCACTATACAGATCATAATAATGATAATATTATCATAGCAATATTTGGTAATAATACCACATTGATAGCTGTATTGCCTAATAATATTCACACTATAAATCCTCATGTAATAATAGCTTTAATTATAAATTTAAAAGGTACAGTTTCATGGTATTCAGGACTTACCTTTACAATGATAAATTATGTCCCCCTCCTAGGAGAACCAGGTACTATTTCCTAGCATTTATGTCAGCATTATGAATTAAAGTCAGGTTCAACAAAAGATGTCAGATTCCATAGATATGGAACAGTAAATATTTGCTATGCAGCAGTTATTGTAATTGTTCCCCATTTCCCAAAGCAATTTAAAGTTGGAGTAAGAGATCTGTGGAATGGAGAAACTTCTGGTGCTTTAGGGACAGTGTCCCACAGACCCAATTAAGAGGGGTGCTGGGAATAGACTGTGGGTGAACTAAAGCTCACAAATGAAATAACATTCCCCTGCCCACATAACTTCTAGGAGCAGGGGCAGATGTTCACCAAACAAACTTCATGAAATGTGAGAGCTTCCTACTTTAAAATATGTCTACCAAAGTTAATTCAAAGTAAGAGATTAATAATTCAAATGATGTTTACTAAAATGAAATGCTAGAATTGAAAAATGACCTAGATATTATGAATGAAATAAAATGGATAGTCACTATGAATTAAATGCATTGTGATTTAACTGTTTGCTTACTTATCTTTATTCTTTTTGAAAAATTAATTTCATGCATTTTCAAGCTTTTTTGAAACGAAAAGAAATACAGATAAGCAATAAAATAAATAGATCCATGGGACAAAAGCAACTCTATATGTTTAAGGCCAAAAAAGTGAAAAATAAATTCAGAATTGATAGTTTGGGGTATTACTGGGAAGAAAGA